GTCTTTGGTTCGACATGCGTTATTTGTGTTTCCCATTATTTATTTTCCGTGTTTCGTGTTGGTACTCTTAATTGCTCGTGCTTGTCCCACATTTGATAAAAAAAAAAGTAAACCGGGACTAAATTCCAAGTCAGTCTGGATTTTTAAATTATGTGTTCCGAGGATCAAGTTATGAATATTTTTTTTCAAATCGGATGCAACTAGCAGACGCGAAAAGGTGACCGCTGGGTCTTCGTGTCTATTATCATGACTGTGTGATCTCCAAGAAAGACTGAGTAATAACTGCTAGTACTTTTTCCTTAATATTTACGATTTTATTTCTCGTGCTTCGTTTATCCCAATTTTTATTTTCCGTGCGACGTTTTGGGGATTTTTATTTCACGTGTTTTCGTGTTAAGAACCCCCCTTTACAACCCTTGTATATGTCAATCAGAAAGGTATCCATGCTGCAGCATAAGTAATACAGAAAAAGACATATGTGGACAAACCTTCAATTTGTTCAAGTTAAAATGGTATTTAGGATTTTCTAGCAGATTATACCTTCTGGTCTATATAAAAGGAAATGTAGTTGAGATTTAGATGGAAGTTTAACTTTCATTTAGTTTTTCATGAGTTCTTATGCTTTTGATTTATACTTTAAATATCATCATTATGAAGTTATTAATAGTTAAATGTGTTGAACAGTATTAAACTTGACAATGTTATAACTTTTGATTTTGTAGATGTCATCATGAAGACCTATGGAATCACGGAACAACAAGTGTCTGACCAAACAACAACCTTTCTAAAATGGGCTCCAAAAAGACAGGGTGGGAGAAGAAAGAAGTTGAAGTTTTCACTATTAATAAATAAATTTATTTTAATTTTATCGTATTGAATATTTCTCTGTAATCAGTGGTTGGACATTAGAATACATGGAGTAGGAACAGCAAAATTTGTTTTATATTTTGATCACTCAGATATTTAGAATAGACATTGGGCAAAAACTATGTATATTAAGGGTTGTGTGCTTTCAAAAATTAGGATAGATCAATATTTCTCTATGATAATTTGTGTTTTTATATGCATATCGTTAAATGGGTTAAAAAAATCTTGGGGGTTAAATTATGGTTCGTAGGAAAGCCCTAAACACACATATTTGTTATTCAGTTGATTGGTTGTTGACATCATCATGGTCAAGCCATGCTCTTATCACAAGAATGTGGTCTCTTGATCAGTTTTATTGTTGAAAATTCTTCTATGAGTAATCGACAGTCAATGGTATATATTCAAAGTTTTTATTGTTGTCTATTGTTAACAAGACAATCATCAACAAAAGAACATTATTTATATATCTTTTGGTCACTATACAGTCTTCAACAATGAGCAAAAGATCACATCATGTCAAATATGACCAGGCAATGATATTATCTAAAGTTCATCAATTTTTTTCTGAGATTAATTTTTATATTTTGTTCTGATGGAGCAGTTATTGGATAAAGTTTCCTGCGGCAGAATGTTGCTATGACATTTAGCATGTAGAGGGCCTTGAGAAGACACTAGCTTGAATATTGCTACAGTATAAAATTATGGAATGCAACACACAGAAAATACAGGATGAAGGAAACTTAAGTTTAAGGTGGAAACACAGGCAATTTTGATTCCATGTTGAATTCAAGGTGAGTTATTGGTTTAAACAATGTTGAAGCAACCATTATTCAATATTGATTCAAAGTTGAATATCAACGTTGATTCAACGAAGGATTTCAACGTTGATACAAATTTGCAAAATCTAATAATAATTCATCATTGATTCAACATAGAAAATAAACATTGATTCAATGTTAAATCAACGTTGTGTGCCTGTTGGGTAATGACACCCTGTACATATATCTTATTTTGGCACCTTGGCATCCCTCCTTTCTTTTTTGTGATAATTTTCACAAATATTCCAGAGATCTTTTAGATGACCAATTCATTCTGTGGTCTTCACAATTTCTATTTTCTTCTTGTACACATTATAATTTCGCATCTAAATATTGTTGAAGATGTTGAACTGCAGGATACATTTACATTTGACACTTTTGTCATTGGATCTGATTAGATATAATAGTACACTTTTGGGAATAGAGCATTGCGCTAATCTAAAGTAAATCATATGATGTTATATTACCTGTAGTATAGGTCAGATAATAAACCAGTGTACATAGTATTAATTGTAGTATACTATTAATATTTTATGAATAGATTTCTTCAATTTTACGACCTTGGAAAGTAAAAGTGTAAACAATGAACAGATAATATATATTTAAAGGTCAACATTCCATGAAGAAGTCACGACTCAATTTTTAGTTCAATTATAAAATGTATAAACTAAAACATTTAATTTATCTAATAGCACGTTATACCAAAAGGTATTAACACTAATATCGAACTCCAATGTAAATTAATGAAGGGGTAAGTCCATAAAACCAGACAAAATCTGACACTCAACTATTTCAACCAACGGATATAATTGCAGATAACTGTAATACTCTTCACTTTTTACAGGCATTTTCATAGAAAATGGTGGGTTAAACCTTGTTGTATAGCTAGCTAAACCTCCCACTTGTATGACAGTTGTTATAAGTTCGTTATATACAAAACGGGGGTATGAGTCCACAAGTAACGGCACAGACCCAGTGGTAAAAAAACCACGTAAGATAACTATTTTATTGCATGAAACCTATTTCTGGAAAGCTCGAGAACAACTGAATATGTTTGGCAGTGTGCAGTTATAAATTATCCATTCTTTTGGTATTTTCTTCGCTAATTTCAAAATATGTAGCAGTTCAAAATACGGTCTTCATGCTGTTTTCATTTGTTTCAGATAAAAATCAAAATAACAAAAATACCGAACTCCAAGTGTTTCTGAGGACACGAATGCCCCCGCTCAAGCTTTGCAACAAAAATGGGACGGACGGGCGGAAAGACAGAAAGACGGAAAGACGGACGGTCAAGGCTAACACTAAATTCTCTCATCGCCTACGGCGGAGGCATTAAGATATGGTTGCAATTCTACAAAGCAATTTTAATCTCAGACGTTTTCATCGTCATTTTACATCAATTCATAAAAGATATTTCTACATGCTAGTGTATGTAGCTTTAACACAATTCTAAAGATACCAATCAGACGACATTTAAACGTTTGAACTTGACAGCGTACATGATTACTGTAAATTTAGAGGTTTTTATTCATGCGAAAAATGCGACTGGGTGAGTATCGCAATAATAAGAACTCGCATTCTGAAATCGGATGCATTTGTGTGTATGTAGTTCTTCCTGATATCGCAAAAATTAATCTTGCATTTTTATCCATTCTTCAAAAATCGCAATAATAAAGGCACACAATAATTTCTGAATTTACAGTATCTTTAAGTGATTAAAAACACCGTCGTGAATAATGAAACTAGTATCCTATGTCTATATGTATAATCAAAAGAAAATATAAAGAAATGAAAAATTATGACCAATTTTTTATTTAGTAATCAGTATGCACATATATTTACTTTATAATTAAAAGATGTTTATCTAGCGGAACACCAGAATGGGTATTTACATTGTACAAATAAAAACAGTAAAGCTAATTTTCGCCAGTTATATGGACATAAGTGTAAAGAATTTGAAACATTAGTTATAGGTAAGTCATTAGTCAAAGTAAACGACACTATGCATAGTTGTAAACAGGAACTTGTGATTTTAGACAATGGTGATCCAGCTGTGGCGTAAAAAGGCAATACTGATATCGCCAATGACAGATAATCACGAATTCCAAATGAGGTGTTGCAAGATGATGGTTTTGTAACGAATAATGTGGACTGTATATTACAAAAATGTATGAGCAGTTTTTTTTTTTTGTTAAATTCCAATACACATAACAATACGAAATCATAATATTTAAACTTGTGATAGAAAAAAGAATGATATAGTTTGTAATGATTTATATGCATACATATCCTTTGAAGAAGTATCTCGGAATGCTTAGAATGAAAATAACACATCTAGAGCCTCAAGCGTAAGCGAGGGATATGTTTTTTGAGGGATATCAGTAATCCTGGATTGATTTCCTCGTGACATAACATCATTGTTTGGATTGATAGGTTTTTTACTTTTTTTATTTTCAAGTTTATCTTTCTAGAGGTACGGGACTTTAGATAAACTTATCATAGATACCAGGTTTACAGTTTTGTACGCTAGACGTGTAAAATTTGAGTTTGGATTGATTAACTGGAAACCTTACATAATTGTTGGAATTGGTTAACATAACCACCCGTGCATGCACGATAAAATCAAATGCTGATACGTTCTTCCTGAGTTGACCAACAGATAAATAAAAGTTTGTATCTCTCTCAATATATTGCACAAGCTCTAGTATGCTTGGATCAAATTACAACGCATTGAATACTGTTGTTAGAATTGGCGAATGTATAAAATCGCTTTTGATTTTGAAAATTATCTGGTTTGTCATTCCAGAGTTATAGGAATTTTAACAGTCCTGTTTAAAGCATTATTAATACGCCATAGGGCATTTCTTCTACAGAGCCATTATATTGCTTCTGATTAAATGCCTTCTAATTTTTTCATTTTCTCGTTGCAACAATTCCAATATGCACAATAAGAGCTGGTTATTAAATGTCCCTTATATGCAAGAAATGTCATGCTCATTGAAAGGCTTTATTTCTATGATGATTTTTCCAAATGTCTGATAATGAAATATGCAATATATCTATCTTTTTAATAATAACAATATATGTGATATTGTTGTCAAACTTGTCATAATATTTTTACAAGAAGGAACAGTAATTTGTATCATTAAGTGCTCTTTTTTCGTATTTCATTGGATAACAGATTGATGAAAATATGTACTTTATATAGTCTATCATAATTAAGAATGGTATGTATATACTTGTTTTATACATCTTTACTGTAGATCTTGTTTTTAATGGGTTTTTTTTTCTTTTTTTGTGTGGTAAAACTAGTGAATCTGAATATGTGAGAAAAAAGAAAACATACCCAAATAAGCTAAAAGATTTTATTTGACATACCCTATGTACTATTTTATGATACATAATCCAAATCATTGATTTAAAAGTTTCAGCAGTTTTCGTAGTATCTGATTTTAAACGCCTTTGCAGTCATATCTATTAGTATGCATACAATCATATTGTATTGATTGGCTTAATAGGTTTCTCTTAAAGCAGAGCTTAAAAGTAGTTTAATATCCATGACTTCAACGGCCGCAAGGATAGTATTATTTATTAATTGTGCAGGACTAACGCAATCATGGTAAAGGGTGGTCATATTAGAAATGGACTTATATTATTTACATATTTGCAGTATGAAATATTTGGTGAGTAAACAAAATTTGAAAATATCTTGAAATATTGTTTAACTGTAATCATGGTAATTACAAAATAAGAGAAAAAGCACCATTGCTCCTGTCTAAACTAATTTTTCTTTTTGATTAATTCAATTATTGTAAGTATAAAAGTTTCATATTTTTATATATACATTTACAAGTACAACTATTCAAATAAAGGAAAATATACCATTTACAAATTTAATGCATTTATGAATTACGTTCAACAGGAACGTTCAGAATAAATATTTTGCCAACGGTGCCTAAAAGAAAGTAATTATCTATTTCTGTTAAAGAATGTACCAACATGTACGTAAAATTAAATGGACTTTCATTTCGCCAGCTGTTGTGATGACATATATATCCAACTGAAACGCGTGGTTCGATTTATATGTCTGGATTTACCTCATTAGGAACAACGAGAGACCACTTAGATTAAAAAAGATACAAAGACGGCCAATCAAAAAACGTTGAAAGAGAATAACAGAAAACGTCATGACCAAGAGAAAAATGCGAAAAGACAAGCAGCAGCCCAATTAACAGCCTCAAAACACTGCATAGAAAACTAAAGATTGAGCAAATTACCACTCCCAAGAAAAAAAAAACAGTTGAATCCAGGTATTTCTGAAGTGTACCCAGTTTCTGCTCCACCAGAGGCTCCTATATTAACAGCAATTTATAACTGAGGAGAGAATAAAAACACAGCCAAAACCATTGAACGGCAATAACGTCTACTGAGATGAATTGTCTTTCTCAATAAAATTCTCAATAAAAGTTTTATGAATTTTTAATAAAGCTTTTCAGTAAATCATGTTAATATCGAAGAATTTACTATAATAATTATAAGAGAATAACACTATGGAAACGCGACCAATCGGCGGAACATTATAGTACTCAATGATAGTACATGAAATATATACCTACCGATACTAAATTCGAAAATGTATGTCAAAACTATTCATTTTGCTTTTGAGTAGGACAAAGATCGACTGTGCATCTTACCATCCTTTTTAATACATCTGCTATATTATAATTCAATGAGGCCCCTCATGGGGGTGTCTAAGTAATCACATAATCACAAATGTTTTGCCAATATAATCACATAATCATTAATTATTTTTTAAACAAGATAATCATATAATCAAAAATACAGTCCTATATTATCAAATAATCAAATAATCATGAAATATTTGGTCTGGTAATCAAATAATCACTATAAAAACGGTCAAGTTATCACATTATCAAAAACCCCATGATGAGGCTCTTCAATATTACAGTGTATTTTGAGAAAAATCTATTTTGATAAAATAATAAAATTAATAATTACAAATAACACCAGCTAGAGAAATACATTTTCATAGAATCAATACAAATTTATCATCCATTGTTGTCGATACTTTTTTCACAATTAGTGTCAAGTTTATACTTTATTTTAAATGAACAGCTAACCATAATTGTAATTGTTGAATTGTGTAATTTACTTCATATGTCATTACATGCAATAAATAACATTCGATTCTTATGTATATATATATTTTTTCGTTTGGGCTTGTATTATATTTGCCTTCGGGTTTATATGATCCGTTCATCCTATTTTGACTCTTTCAAAATTCAAGAGTCTATCCTAAATTGAGGTAAATTATATGGCCTTCCAAATACCGTTTCGATTCCTAACATCACTGAAGAGACATTATTTGTCGAAATCCGGATATGGTGTACAAAAACCTTTGCACCTCATGTTTGCGGTATATCATCTTTTCCGCAAGTTTATTGTTTTCTGTTTAGTATTAAATTTAAAATTAAGATCCATTTATTACATCGGTGATCCGTTTATTTGGCAATCGCCAATGGCAGTCAGCAGGGTTTAAGAACATTTGTTGTTCGACCTGTTAGTCAAATGCGTTTTGTTAAAATATACTTTTTCACTTTTTAGGTCTTTTGGAAAATGTTGTTTGTTCTGTATTTAGACCCCTCTAACAAGAAATTTGTTTTGCATGCACACGTATAAAAATTGCGGTTTTTATCCAACGCAATTATAGGTTTGAACGTTGTTTTCAATTTAGACTTGTTTATATTTTTTCGTTTGGGCTTGTATTATATTTGCCTTCGGGTTTATATGATTCGTTCATCCTATTTTGACTCTTTCAAAATTCAAGAGTCTATCCTAAATTGAGGTAAATTATATGGCCTTCCAAATACCGTTTCGATTCCTAACATCACTGAAGAGACATTATTTGTCGAAATCCGGATATGGTGTACAAAAACCTTTGCACCTCATGTTTGCGGTATATCATCTTTTCCGCAAGTTTATTGTTTTCTGTTTAGTATTAAATTTAAAATTAAGATCCATTTATTACATCGGTGATCCGTTTATTTGGCAATCGCCAATGGCAGTCAGCAGGGTTTAAGAACATTTGTTGTTCGACCTGTTAGTCAAATGCGTTTTGTTAAAATATACTTTTTCACTTTTTAGGTCTTTTGGAAAATGTTGTTTGTGCTGTATTTAGACCCCTCTAACAAGAAATTTGTTTTGCATGCACACGTATAAAAATTGCGGTTTTTATCCAACGCAATTATAGGTTTGAACGTTGTTTTCAATTTAGACTTGTTTATATTTTTTCGTTTGGGCTTGTATTATATTTGCCTTCGGGTTTATATGATTCGTTCATCCTATTTTGACTCTTTCAAAATTCAAGAGTCTATCCTAAATTGAGGTAAATTATATGGCCTTCCAAATACCGTTTCGATTCCTAACATCACTGAAGAGACATTATTTGTCGAAATCCGGATATGGTGTACAAAAACCTTTGCACCTCATGTTTGCGGTATATCATCTTTTCCGCAAGTTTATTGTTTTCTGTTTAGTATTAAATTTAAAATTAAGATCCATTTATTACATCGGTGATCCGTTTATTTGGCAATCGCCAATGGCAGTCAGCAGGGTTTAAGAACATTTGTTGTTCGACCTGTTAGTCAAATGCGTTTTGTTAAAATATACTTTTTCACTTTTTAGGTCTTTTGGAAAATGTTGTTTGTGCCGTATTTAGACCCCTCTAACAAGAAATTTGTTTTGCATGCACACGTATAAAAATTGCAGTTTTTATCCAACGCAATTATAGGTTTGAACGTTGTTTTCAATTTAGACTTGTTTATATTTTTTCGTTTGGGCTTGTATTATATTTGCCTTCGGGTTTATATGATCCGTTCATCCTATTTTGACTCTTTCAAAATTCAAGAGTCTATCCTAAATTGAGGTAAATTATATGGCCTTCCAAATACCGTTTCGATTCCTAACATCACTGAAGAGACATTATTTGTCGAAATCCGGATATGGTGTACAAAAACCTTTGCACCTCATGTTTGCGGTATATCATCTTTCCCGCAAGTTTATTGTTTTCTGTTTAGTATTAAATTTAAAATTAAGATCCATTTATTACATCGGTGATCCGTTTATTTGGCAATCGCCAATGGCAGTCAGCAGGGTTTAAGAACATTATTTGTTCGACCTGTTAGTCAAATGCGTTTTGTTAAAATATACTTTTTCACTTTTTAGGTCTTTTGGAAAATGTTGTTTGTGCTGTATTTAGACCCCTCTAACGAGAAATTTGTTTTGCATGCACACGTAGAAAAATTACGGTTTTTATCCAACGCAATTATAGGTTTGAACGTTGTTTTCAATTTAGACTTGTTTATATTTTTTCGTTTGGGCTTGTATTATATTTGCCTTCGGGTTTATATGATCCGTTCATCCTATTTTGACTCTTTCAAAATTCAAGAGTCTATCCTAAATTGAGGTAAATTATATGGCCTTCCAAATACCGTTTCGATTCCTAACATCACTGAAGAGACTTTATTTGTCGAAATCCGGATATGGTGTACAAAAACCTTTGCACCTCATGTTTGCGGTATATCATCTTTTCCGCAAGTTTATTGTTTTCTGTTTAGTATTAAATTTAAAATTAAGATCCATTTATTACATCGGTGATCCGTTTATTTGGCAATCGCCAATGGCAGTCAGCAGGGTTTAAGAACATGTGTTGTTCGACCTGTTAGTCAAATGCGTTTTGTTAAAATATACTTTTTCACTTTTTAGGTCTTTTGGAAAATGTTGTTTGTGCTGTATTTAGACCCCTCTAACAAGAAATTTGTTTTGCATGCACACGTATAAAAATTGCGGTTTTTATCCAACGCAATTATAGGTTTGAACGTTGTTTTCAATTTAGACTTGTATATATATATATATATATATATATATATATATATATATATATTAGATGCGTGTGTGTCTATTAAATAATTACAGATCATTATTTCATAAAATCGTCAAGAAACCAGAAAGAAATGATACAACCCAATTCAGTGATAATACATTAAAAATAAAGCTGTGCTAACTTTTTAGTATTTTCATATATAAAATATTCCGAGACAACAATAAAATATATAATTGAAAATCGTATTAAATGTTGGCATACGATTTCGAGAACATAAGAAATATAACAACAATAAAAAGAAAATCTAGAACTGACTAAAATGATTATCAAGAGCTTTTCTGTAGTCTTTTTTTTTTTTGCAATCAAACCACTGGCATATTTGTTATATATAATAACCGATATACCTTCCGGCGATAAATGCTTCATAGCAATTAATTAAACATCGATAAATTAATGAATAATTGAAAAGAAATTTAATTCACAATTGTAATATATTGAATCGGCTAGACACAATGTCCACTTATAGCAAAGTATGAACTCCTGCTAGAGACATATCAATAAGTCATAGCTAGATGTGTTTTATAGTAACCTTTACCTCAATTATAGAAGAAGGCTATACGTGTAAATTTTTGTGAAGTTGATGAATTTAAACAGGAAATAGGCATGCGTCGTCTTTATATATTCACTTAGATGTACCTTGATTTTAGTCGTTATATAAGAATTAAGAAATTAGTCTTTCATGAAAGATTCTAAGGGACCAATTTCGGGTTCCATTTAATAAATGAGTAACTCCGGTTGACCAGGGGTCACTGAATGATCTACTGTTACTGTAATGTAACATACGTATGTGCCATTGGAATTGTACTAAAAAAGCACGAATGTTACAGTCGGCTATAGAAAAATTCAGAACTTTTGTAATTCGAAAGCGGACGTATAAGACACGTTCAAAATGCGGTCATTATGTTTTAATGAAGCAAAACCGTTCAAGATAGCCAAATGTTTCATGATTAAAAAGTGTACAAATAGTTAAAATAAGAAAATGCGATAGATTTTCAATGAAACAACTATCCACCAGAGACCAAATGACATAGATGTAAGCCACTATACTTACTTGAAGAGTGATTTTATTTAATGTGCAAAGCGGGCAATACCAACAAAAATGTCAATTTTGATCACAGGTGTCGGTTAACCAACAAATAACGTTGTAATTTTGATTACACGCACTTCATATTAAATCAGATTAGAACATGGTTTTGTTTGAAAGGCGAAGGAAACTTCTTTATTTACGTTAACCTTATTTTTGAGAAATATCAGGGATTGTCTTCCTTTATCAGAAAAAGTGGCGGGAGATACCAAGAGGACATTCAAAACTCGTGTGTTGGGATTAACTGACAACACCATGGCAAAAACCAAAGACAAACAAGTTCACAAAACACTTAATTGAAAACTAAAGACTGAGCAATAAAAACTCCACCAAAAATGTTGAGTGATCTCAGGTGCTCCAGAAGGGTAAACAGATCCTGCTCCCAACTAGTGGTACCCCTTGCTCATGTAAGTACAAATTCGTGATGAATCTCATTCGTTGGTGTCACAAAAGAGGAAAATAGGAATGGATTGTGGTTACGACCATTAGAACATATATCCGATGTCATCTGTAACATAGATATCGCATCAATAAATTCGTGATGGCTTAGAAACGTGTCCTGAATCGGATTTGGTATATGTAGATCATGTCTTGTATTACGAATGTCAATTATCTAAGAAACAATTATTCCGTGTCGTGCTATAAGCTCATGTTATTAAGGTCACATGATATTTGTCAATATTTTTTATATGAGGCGTTAGCAAGGTTTAAAATGCCGACAGATATAATGCCTAACCATGTTAAATGAGCATAGAGCATGACACGAAACAATTATTTCTATTCTAATAGAAAGAATTCAGAACACGTGTCGATTGAAGTGGATCTATAAGGCACGACCGAAAGGGTGCTATTTTGATGAAGCAAAACGTTACAGAAAAATCAACCGTTTTCCGACTAATAAATGTACAGACTGACTAACAATTGAACTGATGTTATTAAGTTAGTGATCTACACCAACAGAAAATTTTATGTTGATCTCTAGCGTTGTTTAAAATATCGCCGACGTATTTTAATTGTGAAGGCACACACGTGCACCCAATGTTTCATTGCAATTAAAAGGTGACTGTGCGAACAAAGCGAAAGAGCGAAATATAAGAACAATTTTTTAAATATTTTAAACAAGTATGACATACTAATATCATATATACTTGGAGTGTTGGTATTATTGAATACTGAATAAACATGTGTAACCTGAAGGTAATGTATATGACACCTCCGTGGTGAAAGAGAGGCGGAAGATACCAAACAGATATTCAAAGTCGAAAACAAACTGACAATGCAAAAAAACGAAAAACGATCAAAAAACAAACAACAGTATACAAAACACAACATAGAAAACTAAAGACTGAGCAACACGAACCCCACAAAAAACCGAGTGTGATCTCACTTTAAAATCTGATGATTCATTAGCCGTTGAAGTGTATATACCCCTGTGATCAATGGTGATTGACCATTACAGTAGCATACCATAGATTGTATTATTCTTGTTTCTTGTTTGAATATCTCATATCATATTTCATTTCAAGTTTCTCATATCATCTATATGACATTTTGAGCGCTTTGTACTCTCATAAAATCTTCAGTTAACCGTTTAGTCATTAAATATTATTTCAATTACAGGAGGAGAATTTTCTTACAGCAGTCCAAACAGCCAGCGATATATTCTATTGTCAAGTTTGAACATAACTCACATAAATGGATTTATCAATTTTAAAGTACAGTCTTGTAATGATGTCCACTTTGCTCTAATTTCTGGACAAACCGAATATGATCCTTTATACGAAATAGTCATCGGTGGATGGGGTAATTCGAAATCAGTTATTCGGACAAGCAAGCAAGGCTCTCCTGTTGCACAAACGTCTGGGTCATATCTAAATTGCAACGAGTTCGTGGAATTCTGGATAACTTGGAATAATGTAACTATTACATTAGGGACTGGCGTGAAAACTTTTTTTAATACGGGATTTTTAAATTGGTCTCTTCAAAGTGGATTATTATCAATTCTCGACTCTGGCTTTTATACTGCTTTTGGATCAACAGGGGAGTGGATATTTTATACACAAGGTACATACCACATTATTTTAGAAAATGAAAACTAAACAATGTCACCGATACCTGCCGTTCATAAGTCTTCTTAGGCTAAGAAAAATAAGAAGACGTGGTATGATTGCCAATGCGAAAACTTTCCTCTAAGCAACCAGATGACGTAGAAGTTAGCATCTATAGGTCAACGTACATCTTTCAACAAGTATCAATACCATATCGCATAGCAAGCTATAAAAGGCCCGACAGGAAAATTGTAAAACTTTTCAAACTAGAAATCTTTCGGCCGGAATTATATAGATATAAGAAGATGTGGTATGAGTGTCAATGAGACAACTCTCCATCCAAGTCACAAAAAAGTAAACCATTATAGGTCAAAGTACGGCTTTCAACACGGAGCCTTGGCTCATACCGAACAGCAAGCTATAAAGGGCCCCCAAAAATGACTAGTGTAAAACCATTCAAACAGGAAAACCAACGGTCTAATCTATAGAAAAAACGAGAAACGAGAAACACTTATGAACCACATCAACAAATGTACAGAATAATAAACGAAAAACAATATACAGCAACATTTTAGGCTCCTAACTTGGGAAAGGCACATACATAATGTGGTAGTGTTAAGCATATTTGCGGGCGCCTAACCCTCCTTCTACATGTTTTATCTTCCAATAGTGAAGTTAGAGCAACTACAAGAAATAAAATCAAGTCTCTGGCGGAAAGGTGGCAATTATTCCACATCTCCTTATTTTCTATAATAAAAACAACAGTGATTCTACAAAAAGGCGATAGATGTATTCGGCTTTTAACATAGTAGTGAGTATTAACAGTATAAGTGTTTTCACAAAAATCGATTTATTTCATTTTCTGACTGAAACATAAAATGACAGAGATCGTTCTATTAGTTTAACGTGTAAGTATTATATGACCATGAATGACGATATTTTCAAAACACAATTTGTTAATTTATTTCAGAGTCAATCACAGAAGCAATAGAGGTAACCACAGACGCAATAGAAGTAACCACAGAAGCAATAGAGGTAACCACTGCATTGTCATGTATGTGTCCATGTATACACAATACAATTCATATTGACACATCAAACCTTACCAAGGAAGAATTAATGGTTATTTTACATGACGAATTACAATTGATGAAAAATACACTTAAAATAGAAAAACAGTTTTCTTCGAAATATTTAAGGAGACTTAATTCAGCACCAGATAATAGAACCTCATCAAAATCTATGGGATCAGTTGCAGTTTGCATAATATTTATGCCAATAAGTTTGTCTATTGTATCAGATATAGTGAAACTGCGTGTCTATTTAAAACGAAAGAAAGCCAAACTGCTTAAGAGAAAATGACACGAAGATTATTCTTTTGATGACGATGCAGATGAATATTAAATTTTTAATAAGAATATTGTGAATAGTGACAGTTTTGAGAACGCTATGCAATGATGAAACATTCATTATCTGTGATATCTATTTTGTAGATTCTCACCCCTTTCTATAATGTTTATTTTTTAAGGATGTAGTAGATTCATGTTGCCATAATCAGAAGAAAAAATCTGTTACCTCCTTAAATGTAAATTTATTTGTACTTTTCTGTACATTTTTAAAGTTTTTCGTAGCAGCAATGTAATGACTGTAATATAGAAAATACATGACGAATACACAACTAATCGTCTACAAAACACTTAATAAAAAGCAAAAAAAAAAAAAACAGAAACACGAACAACACCAAATACCAGGGTTGATCTCATGTGCTCCAGAAGGATAAGCAGCTATTGCTTGTTCATGGTACGTACAAAGTCGCTGTTCAGTCTGATTCGGTGATGCCACAACCGATGAAAAAAGATGGGAGTGTTGCTACGACAATTGGAACATATCAGTGGTCATCTGTAACACAGATATTCCATCACGGTCAACTTGCTCATAATGGGCTTCCATAAAACTTGCAAAGGAACGACTTTCAATGTACCGCTTGAAACCCTTGGTTTAATAGCTTCCTTGTAAGCAGCAACCCTCTTTCAGGGAAATTATGATAGAAACACAAATCTGTAATATTGTATCAACTTGGATGTATATACTCAATATGCAGACGTTGCTGAAAGGTTGGTACATAGAAATGTAAAAGTTCACATTGGAAAGCTGAAACCATATTTTAACAATTTCAGTACGTCATCACGATACACTCTTTATCTTATTGCATCTGTAGCATGCATCAAGAAATATTGGCTGTATGGCCACTAGCCATTTTTTTAGATTAGAGGTTAACAACACTTTCTTCAAGATATGGATATATATATAAACAAAGACAGTACCCCGCACTTCATACAAAAGAGAATGAAATATAAAAAGAAGAAGATAAGGTATGATAAACCAGGTTGAATCCACCATTTTCTACAAAAGGAAATGCCTGTACCGAGTCAGGAATATGACAGTTGTTTTCCATTCGTTAGATGTGTTTTAGCTTTTGATTTTGCCATTTGATAAGGGACTTTCTGTTTTGAATTTTCCTTAGAGTTCGTTTTTTTTATCATTTAACTTTTTCCTCTTATATACATACACCAACAAAGTTAGAACATTGCGAATATGTATCGCAAAGTCTGCTAGAGATGGTTGAACGCGAGAATAAACCGGTTTACAGCACAGTGAAAAACGACAACTTCTGATGATGATCTTGATTCGACACATAGTTATTTACAGTAAGTTTCTGAGTTCTCAAACCTATCTATATTTTTCATTTCGGTCACTGGAATACAAAAAGCAAAAACAATAAACTCACAATGAAACTTAGCTCGGTATATGTGGTTAGTTTTGGTGAATAGGTATGGAAGGTCGGACCAAAATTAGAAGATGTTCAAAATTGTAAATTATTACTATATTATTAATACGTTAATGTTTTGCCATTTTATACTATTCGTTCTTATTTCTTGAGCTCGTGAAGAAAGTCCAATGTTTACTATTTTATGTTTATTAAATGTGATAGAATCCACGTTTGTTTTTTTTTTTTTTTTTTTTTATCTTTCAACGATATATAAGTTGGGGTATATGTCAATAAAACAGCCACCAAACTTTATACACAACATTCAACAATTATAAAAAAAAAATCAAAAGAAGTCAAAGTGCAATTTTGAACAATGTCTATATCATATGTCAAAGTCTACATCTCCTCGACTCTAATAGACCGAAAACATATCTCAACAGAGAAAAACATTAAGACAATAGAAAAAGAACAGATATGGTGCCTGTCCCGGTAAAGCAATATTTGTTACCTTTTTTTATCATACCAGCTTTTGAACTCTTCTATATGGTTTTAGTTTTCATAAAAATAATGATTTAGTCTCGAGCATCACTGAATAGACATGTTTTTCTCTGACTTTTAATGACGTCTTTACACTAAATCCATTGGATATTGGATGTGTACTAATTGATATTCAAGTCTTAGATACATGATCTTTTTTATTAGTTGTTATTGGATTTGAACTAGCTATCAGTAACTGCGAGTACTCTCAGATCTGTACTTAGTGTCCTGTTTGTTGTTATGGATGACGGATGGATAAATACCCTGCCACGTCCTGTCTGTGTTTGTGTTTGATGTTTTTCTGCTTTGTATCGATCTGATGAGTTCAGCCTTTTTCAACTGATTTTTATAGTTTGTTCTTTTGTTGTGCTGTAACACCACTGTCCCATCTTAGGGGGACAGTTGAGCGCTCACAAAGATGTTTAACCCAGCCATATTCTTTATGTGCATGTCCCAAGTCAGGAGCCTGTAGGTCAGTTGTTGTCGTTGGTTCATGTCTGTCAAACTAGGGGTTTTTTTTTCGTTAATTGTTTTGTTTTTTAAGCCGACTATACAGTATTGGTTTCTCTCATTGCTGAAGGCCGTACGGTTGTCTAAAATTGCTTACATCCACTTTATTTGAATTTTGGTGGATAGTTGATTCATTGGCAATCATATCTCATCTCCTTATTTTTATATAATAATGTCAAAATGTGCATCTCGTACACTAAACTTGGTACCGTTTCATTTGATATGGTACAATACAATTGATTAGTAACAAACAAACCCTTTACGGAGTTAATCAAACCTAAAGCAAAGGAGCAATGCATTTGTTGCTATTATTTATCTTAAAGTTACAGTGAGGCCATTAATTTGGAACAAAAACTCTCAACCCACTGCAAATTCCTTTACCACCTATGTAGAGAACTTATTTGCTATATGTAGCCGAAGCTACATATGTACATAAGGGACGGAACAGATTCGGGTAATATCATCAAAGTGCATATATGTTTATGCTATAACAGTCAAAGATATCCAACAAATACTGTCAAAATGTTTTCGACAATTTCTGTAAATATAACAATAACGGTACCAATTTTTCTGCACCAGATGCGCATTTCGACAATTAATGTCTCTTTAGTGATGCTCGAGGGTAAAATATTTGAAAATTCTAGGTTTATTAAAAAGATGAAGAGCTATAAACCAAAAAGGACAAAAAAGAATAGCCAAAGTCGGGCAAGGAATCAGAGCTTTGCATGAGGGAGATATATTCCTTAATTTAAAATAATTTCCAAAATTTGTGCCAGCAAATTTGATAAACACAAAATCCGTATTTTGATGCAAGTACCGAAGTACTGGCTATTGGGCTGGTGATATCCTCGGGAAAAACAAAGAACCCAGTACCTGCAAACTTTTAGACAACCAAAGGGCACATCATGATATATGCATGAATAGCTTGAAGTGTTTAAGATGGTTTAAACTGTTTCTATGATTTTTGTTTATGCAAAAAAATTTATCTAAACAGGACCACATATAGCTTCTTCCGGTTCGTAACAAGTCATGAAAATCTTGTGTTATTCAAAACTCAACCGGATTGGCATAAGGTCTGTTGTATTTATGTTAATCTATTTATTTTAGGATGACACTAATTGATCAAGCATGCTTTATATAAAAGTTGTGTCATTGGTGTATTTAAATTTACCTTTTTTGTGAATGTTCACCTATTAAAAATAAATCGTTAGGTATTGAATGTAAATCTTTAAATTGGAGTTTGTATAATTGAAAAACAAAAGATTTAGATTTAGGATTAAAATGTCAATCAAATAAATTAAATTCGTCATTATTTCGAAAAAAGACAATTTAATGATGTGAAAACATTTAATTGTTTTTATTTCATATATTTGTTCGTTCTAATCGGTTTTAAAAGGCCTATCAGTATGTAATGTCCATATTTGCACATAAGCCATTTGTAATGTGAGCTTGTTACATGTAAGACTATAAATATTGGGTAATTGAGTATTGCAGGTTTTGTTTGAACATAATAATTCTTAATGACGAACTTGCAAGGTAGTTAAAGTGAAGTATATGCATGAAATAATTCATAATTTATCATTTTTACATAAAATAGGAAAATATCAATGGAACTCAATTTTACATAAATACAGTGATCGAAATCTCTTCCAGTACTGCAAGTAATGTTTTGTTCATTTGTTCATTGAAACATTAAAAAACGGATATGAATTCCTAGAAGTGTCCTTATCAAAGTAATCAAATTTCAAAATGCATTATATATTTCTGTAAAAAGTATGCATGAATACTTTATAATGATAAGAAGAATTACGGTTTAATCCATATCTGTCTATCATACTTATAAATATTCTAATTTTGTTTCAGGAAAGTGTTTTGATGTCATGCTCGTCAATCATAAACTTATAAGATTCTCTTTCGAAAAAAGTTTTGATTAAGTTAACATGAAGCATGTCCGCTGCAGAAATTCAAACTAAAATCTATCCTTTTCTGTAGAAAATTATTGATACATAAATATTTTAAAAATATATATATATAAAGAAAGGTCTGTGTACTTGTTTTTTGAGATATAAAAATTTGAAAAACGATTTATTTTAGCGAGAAATGGATGCCTCTTTTGCTTTCATAGAAAACGTATAGAAAAAAATGAATTTTAACTGAGTGTATGAAAAGAGTATTAAAATAACTAAATCAATCTTAAAATTGTGAAACAATTGAGATTGAGGCTTTCACATTATTTACGTATCCTTGACAAAACAATTAATTGTTAATGCATTGCAAATATCAGTCACTGAGGAGCTACGTAATTTTGTGGACAAGTTGAAAAAATCTGAGGCGAACACCTTTCAGCCTGTTCACGTTGTGAATGCATGCCGGCATTAGCTTACTACTTTGTATAAAAAAATGAAGATCTGGTATGATTGCCAATGAGACCACCCTCGACCAGAGACCAAATGACGTAAAAATTAGCAGCTATAGGTCACCGAACGTTCTGCAACAATGAGTAAAACTCATACCACATAGCAAGCTATAAAATGCCCCAAAATAGCAAATTTAACACAATTCAACAAGAAAACTAACGGCCTGATTTATGTACAAACCAATAAACGAAAATGAATATGAAATACAGCAACTTCTTTTCCTTATCTGAATTTGAAACATCCTGGCGTTTGGTTCCCATTCTCTTTTAATTCTTCGAGATATCAATATTACACTATTGAACACATTAAATATTGTTTTCCATTTCTCGTAGTCGCAATCCAATCCCGATTTCATCATTTATAACTTATCAGAGTTTTTATTTGATATTAGAAATAAACCGGTTTTTTTTTGGATCTGATACTATTTACCCTTCCGGATCACCCGTAGAACTATATTCTGCTTTATAAAATCATATGAAAACTACAAGACACCAAGACACATGTAGCCTTTAAAATAGAATTTTCAAATAAGACAGGGGTCTGTACAAAATGTCAAACTCTAAATCGCCTGGTGTCAAGAAAAGTAGTTAATCCGTTTCGAAATTACTCTGACGTAGATCCATTTTATGATATGTACGAATTTATGACAATTTAATGTCAAAATACAATATTTGGTTTCTATGTTCACAGGAAGGTTATCCTACTCGTACGTACTGCTCTAAATAAATTTGTATGAAGATTCAGCTTATTGTTAATATGTAATATTATTAATGCTTTTGTTTTCTGTCTTCCTTTTCGCATGTTCCCTCAGTGTTGCTTTATTAAGCTTTATAGTGCGGAACTACAAACAACTGTCAAACTAGTGGGAGGTCTAGGTAGCTATAAAGCCAGGATTAATCCACCATTTTGTGCGAAAATGTTTGTACCAAGTCAGGAATATGACCGTTTTGTTTCACTCTTCTGCTCGTTCTTAACGTTTAATTTATTCAGTTTTATGGACTTCCCCTTTTTGAATTTGCCTTGGAGTTCGGTATTTTTGTTATACTTTTTTGAAAGTTTTTCTGCAATCATTAAATATTCCCAAGTAGTAAGTGCATTTAAATGGGCTAATGTATTCAGACTTTCAAATAAAGGTATCCTTTCTTTTCTATTATGTTAACTTTGGCTCTGAATGGGCTATGTCACACGATATAAAGTGCAAGACAATAATTATTATGGTCTTAAGGTAACTAATTCATAGTTGTTCTTTTCCGCAGAGAAATATTCTTCCGTTGCAAAAAATAATGATAAAATTGATAACCACTAAAAAGTTGTACGACGGTTAAAATACATAAAAGAATATTGCTGTCATTACGAAAGACTTCAAATGGATATCAAACTCATAATTTGAAAGCAAACAGACAATGCCATGGCAAACAAAAACAAATAGACAAACGACGAAGCAACAAACAATAGTACACAAAACACAACATAGAAAACTAAAGACTGAGCAACACGAACCCCACAAAAAAACCAGGGTGATCTCATATCTTATAAACTAAGAATGGGTTCATTTCCCAGTACAGACCATTCATCCTTTGTGGGATTGGAGATATGCTTATTTTTATACATATAGAAATGAACTAAATTGTAAGTCTGGTATTTTGTGTGACCTTTAGACCTGGATTTCTTTCTAGAAATTTTAATTTCAAGCGCCTTGTATTATTGTATTTTTTTTCCTTCTCGAGATAACGTTTTGTAGAGGTTTTGGTCAATTGATATTTC